TTTCATTATCTACAAGGTTCACAAATGTACACTTATCAAAGGTTACTGTGAATTTTATAACCATTCTATTACTTTCTTCTCCCATAATTGATGCTACCATTGTTCTAAATTCTTCATATGATGTGCCTTCCTTTATCATTCTTATTCTCACACCACCTCCAACATACTGTGTTTCACCTTCCACACCATTAATAAATTGTCCTCCTATATGGAGGTAACAAAACAAATGTTTTCCACTTGAAGTTGCCATCTTTCATATCAACCTGTCACAATCACTCGTTAATAACAAGTCATACAGTTATATTAACAACCTTCGATGAACCCAATAACAAGACATTTAACCATCGCATTACATGAGTTATAGCAATAAAAATCTATTATTTTCCATTCATTTTCATAAGCAACACAGCATCAATGACTAAAAAACAAAGCATCATTCACTGAAAAACAGAACATTGCTTTATAACCCTAGCCACACATAACAAAACCACACCTAAGATTATTAAAATCACATATGACTAAAATAAGCCTCCCTTGATAGTTGTATTGAGTTGAATCACATCCTTAATACCCATACACCCACAACCAATCAACTTTTCAAACTAACATTACACTTGAGACTGGTTATGTACGAAAGAAGAGAAATGTTGTTAATGATGAGACCTAAAGAGAAGATGAAGAAAAATATAGCTTGCCTGCAATAATGGAGCACCAGCGCAGACCTCCGTTTCTTCTTTCAAAAGCTTCTCTTCCTCGTGCATGCTAACAACCCAGCGCACTAACTGAAGCTAATTAGCTTCTCTTCGTTTGTTTTTTCTTTCCTTTTTCAATAAGTGAGGGCAACTCGGTCATTTCACAAATTTAATTATTTGCTCTGAGGTCCCTGAGGACTTAGGAAGAATTTGGGGATTTTCAAGGACTTTATTTGAATTAATTCTGTTTTGTGGGACCTGTGTGTAATTTTCCCTTTAAATTTTACCCCCATCCCTTTTTATAAATAATATTCATCTTTAATATAAGATTTTTTAATTAATTTAATTAGATTAAAAAATTAGATAAGTTAGTTAATTATAAGAAATATGATATATTTTTTCTAAAACACTATAATAATATTTCTTAATATCCTTCTTCATTTACTTACTTGATTATGGTTGAGGAAGTATTCATAGGGATAATTTAAAAAAATTGATAAATATGAAAAATAGATTTTATATTTATGACCAAAATTAACTTAATAATTAGTACATATATTAAGGATCGGAGGAGTACTACACTTCATCACATAAATTTAAATATTAATTAAAATTAATCAAAAACAATAAAAAATAAATATATAGAAATTAAAAGCTCTTTACTCAAAATATCGTTATTTATAAAAAAAATGTATAAAAAATAAAATAAAATCATTATTATAATAAAAAGAATTTTTTTTTTTTGGGGGGGTTAAATTAAGGAGCGCGAGGTTCAATCACGCGACGTGATAGGGGACGCTACCTTGCTACGCCATCAAGCCAAAATTTCTAATTGCTAAAGGAGTTATAAGAAAAAGAGAATATGTGATAAAAAAAAGATGAGGGTTTAAAAATAAGATAATAAATATATCTACTATTAAAATAAATAATTAATATGAGTAAAATAAGAACTTTGTTATAAAAATTTAAAATAACTTACAAATATTACTTATATTTAAAGACAAAAGAGAATAGTGATTGTTGCTTACCAATGTCCCTTTTTATAATAATATTAGACTTCATCACATAAATCAAAATATTGATTAAAATTAGGCAAAAACACTAACGATAATAAATATACAGAAATTAAAAGTTTTTAACTCAAAATATCACTATTCATTAAAAAAAGGTATAAAAATAAAATACAATAATTATTATAATAAAAAGATTTTTTTTTCTTTGGTTCAACTAGGGAGTGCGAGATTCAATCACGCAACTTGATGGGGACCCCATCTTGCTTCACCGTCAAGCCAAAATTTAGAATCGCTTAACAAACCTATAAAAGAGAGAAAAAATGTGATAAAAAAGATAATAATTTAAAAATAAAATAATAAATATATTAAGTATTAAAATAAATAATTAATATGAGTAAAATAAGAATTTTGTTATAAAAATTTAAGATAACATACAAATATTATTTATATTTAAAAATAAAAAAGTAATTGTTGTTTATTAAAAAAAAAAAAAAAGAGAGGAATGTCTATCTCTCCTGGGGCCCGCACAGTGCCTCCGTTCATATCCCCACTCCAAAAATATCATTACTTTCCAGGCATGAGTCAAACTATACCTATCAGACACAGAAAAAAGAAAAACAGTGAGAGAACCCAACAGCTCGTTTACTTTTAATCTTTGGTCGAAATTTAGATCTGGGTCCTGACGTGGACATGGTGGGTCACCCCTTCCTGCCTTCTAGATATTGTGCATCAGTCAGCTTTTTCCGCCATTCAAGGGGGAAACAATAAGGAAAAATTATAACGAGATTTTTAAAAAATAATTATAAAATAAATTTCATAAATTATATTTTTTGTTTTAAAATTTATTATTGCAACTATTTAGGAAAAATTACTAATAAAAACCTCTTAACATGTAAAATTACTTGAATTTAAAAAATAGTAAATAAGGACCCGATTCCATTTTTATAAATATGAAATCATAGTAAAATGTCCGAAATGTCCTTCAACCAAATGATAAGTTGACTATAGGAAGTGAAAAGTTCATTTTAGTGAATGACAACCTCAATAGACCAAGTCAAAATTTGGCTGAAGGATATTTTAGATATTTCACCCACATTTCATATTTGTAAAAGTGAGATCAGGTCCTTATTTATTATTTTTTAAATTCAGAGTTTTAAATCATAATTTACATATTGGGGTTTTTATTTGCAATTTTTCCAACTGTTTAAATTTTTATTAAAAAATTTTAGTAATTATTTTTTTTTAAAACGTCATTGTAATTTAAAAAAAAAAAGACAAATTACTTCCTCTTGGAAGATGTGACGGCCAGCGGACTGGGATAAGCTTTTGAGGGGCCCAAGTCTAAAATATTGTTTGGGGGAATAAAGAAACAAAAAAGCGTCAGCCGGCAGTCCTAAGTCTAAAATATTGCTTTTATGGTAATTGTTTTAACTGTTGGACTACTGACCTGAGCGGTATTGCTTGCTCTAAATAACGTATTAAATGTAGGACAAAGTCCTAAGTCTGTGGGCAACTAAACGTCACCTTCTTGCTCTCTGAAAACACGTGTATGTATTTCTTAACCTGCTCATCAAGTCTCAATGTGAAATTTCTTAAATAAACTTTCATGAGAGACAGTTGATCATGTCAAAAATAATGTGAAATTTCTTAAAACAAAATTTCATGGGAGGCAGTCGATCGGCTCAAGTCTAACCCTATAAAATATTATATATATATATATATATATATGATTTGTGACAGAATTCACCGCTTGAACATGGACCTCACGCACGCACACGCGTCTGTGCTAGTTGAGTTTTAGGAGGTGTTTGAATGGAAGCCAAACCATAATTTCAAAAGTACTTTTATAGTTTACGAAGTAAATATGTGGAGAAGTTTGTTTCGTTTTGCGGGAAAGTGTTTCTGAGAAGCACTTTTGAAGGTTGCCAAACACTCCTTTTAATGAATCTTTAAACTTTTATCGCAAAATTTAGTACATATAATATTCTTTTATACAAATAATTATATAAACACATGTATATTATTAGAAACTAAAAATAAATTATATGATAATTTTAATTTTAACTGTTGATATGAAAAAATAATTTTTAAATTTTTCTTTTACTATTTTTTTATAATGTTTTATTTCTTTAAAAATTATTTTTAATATAATATTAATTTCAAATGAAACTAATTTTGAATTTTAATATAATATACTAGTATTATAAGTTTCATGAAATTTCATTGAGCTTTCGGTCTGATGCTGCTCGGATTTTAAAAAAGGTCTAAATGAAGTAATTTGGACGATTAAATGATAGGAAATGGCTTTGAAAAGGTCATAAAATTGTTACTTGATGCTTATTGATGGTTAGTGGCTTGGTTTCAAGCTCTATGTAAATTTTTGGAGGGCCATTTTCCCTAGCTATAACTAGGTTCTTTGAATCTGAAGAGAACATGAACATGTGCAAAAACATAATAAATTTATAATATTATATATTCTTTGAACTTGCAATATATAGTTTTGTAATAGACACACATATTTAATTGAGTGGGAAAAAAATGAAAGCAACATATAATTAATTAGGAGCAAAATTGAAAAAAAAAACATTAAATGGTCAAATCCAAATTGTAGCTTATGAAAAAATAAGACACTTGAAAGATTGGATGCTTTTATTTTCAATTAAAGTATTGCGGGAGTACGTTAGGAAGACAACAAATCTAAAATACAAATAGAAAGCCAAATTTTTTTTTAAAAAAGGGTAGAAATGTATTTAATACTCTAATATTATTTTTTACTGTATCTAATATCCTGATTTTGTTTATAATACATCCAATACTCTAATCTTATTTTTCTAGTATATTTAGCACCCTGATGTTATGTATTTAGTTATATCCATCACTTTAATCTTTAGAGTATTGGATGTATAAAAAAATAAGATTAAAGTGCTGAATATCTCGTAAAAAAAATTAGGATATTGGATACTCCTAATAAGCTTGGATCTAGCAACAGAGATCTTGTTCGCAATGAAATAACGTTAAAATAAAATTTTCTCAGAATGTCTCATTATTCCTCACGAAATACTACCAAAACCTTTGGGAGCTAGCTATAAACTTATATTAAGGACCAAGTACTATAAAAATGTGCTTAGACTACTAAAAGAAACATCCAGTCACCGAAAATGGGAAGTTTTGAAATCATAAATCCATCCATAAACAAATACACCTCGCACTAGGCAAGAGTCTGATGACTTCTGTTTGCTACGAAGCAGCAATACCAAAAACATAAATATTTATATATATTTTTGCAACTAAGTGATACCAATCAAATCTCACTCGGTTCTATCAATTTATTTAAAAGGTAAAATACAAATTTGTTCTAAAAGTTTTTAGAAATATTGGATACTTGAAATTTTCTTTTGGAACAAATTTATCTTATAAGTTTAAAATTGCAATAATATTATCTTATATTATTAAAAAATTTATATTAACTGTTAAAATAATGATGTTAACTGCTAATACTTTTAACTATTAAAAAAAATATTGCTATAGTATTAAACTTTTCAAGCAAATGAGCTCCCAAAAAAATTTCTAGATACCCAACTGTCCTGAGTAACATATTTGCACCGTATCTTTTATTTAGAGCAATATTGCTGAAAGATCATGAACCTGAAGCAAGACCTTCGTGAAACAAAGCAGTAAAAGCCTCCATTTCTGGTCTGTTCAACACCAATCCAATCTCAATCCCTCCACTGCCGTTCCTGCTTTCTGAAAGTGAGAAAGCTCCAGTCTTGCCTATGGAAACTATCTCCACCTTCTTGGGCCTTCCCCAACCAAAATCAATACCGTAAACCTCAAACCGTGGTGACCCTGCAGTTGAAAAAAATCTATGAGTTTTCCCAAGACTTTGTATCTCAGCCATCCATTTTTCTGCTCCACTTAATCCTCCATCTTCAAATCTCTTCAAAGCATCGCTTATGGCCTCAAGAGCAGCGATGAACCCATCATTCCCAAGCAAGGTGTTTGTTTCAGCCACAGCTTTAGCACCCCCAACACAGCTTCCAAAATATGTGGGTGGAATTGGAGGATCCAAACGAGATCTACAATCCACAGCAAATATGAACAGAAACTTATCTTGTTTTGTTTGCTCTGCTTTGACCAAGCAGTTTAACATATAGGCACATGTTACTGAAAAGGTTGATAGATGAACCTTCTTGTTCAGCTTAGACTCTGCAATCTGCTTAAGCTTTTGAATGTTTGATGGAACCAATTCAAATGTTCCCCTAATTGGCTTCCCTTGATTTGTGCTCTTAATATCCCACCACTTTAAGCTTCTGTTATTTGGTTCACCTTGTTTTGACCAATGATTTGAAAATATCTCTGCAACCCCAGAGGAGTCTTTCATCACAGACCTGTCAAAGAATGGCATTAGATTCCCGGGAAGCGACGAATCTGATGAGGATTCATCTAGTTTAGAGCAGATATAAGCCCATGATTTCATAAACAAAGTTGAAGATTTTCCATCCATGGCTGCGTGGTGCGTGGTTATTCCAATAGAGAAGCCAGCGTTTGGGAACAGTGTGATTTGCAGGGCCACGATAGAAGCTTCATCATCGGAAACGATCAAGTCGGGTACCAGCAGGCGACTTTCTTCGGCATCAGAGAAATCAGAACTTGAGAGAATGTTGAAATCTGCGTTCGATTCTGCAACGGTGAGTGAGACGCCGTCGCCGGAGATATAATGGATGAAGGGCTTCCGGCAGTGACGCGGCCATTTGATGTTGCCGGAGAGAGGAAAGAAGTGATGGAGAGTAAGAGAAAGGGAGTACTTGAGTTTTGGGAGAACGGAATGGAAGAAGAAGGAAGGTGGGTTGGGGAGTTCGTAGAAGAAAAGACGCTCAACGGGCCGTAATCTCAGCCACACTAAATCGAAGAAGGTGAGTGGTAGAGAAGTTTCCGATGCGGCGGCGGAAGGTGCCGCTTCTGGTGGCGGTGGCACCCTGCAAACTTCAAGAACATTCATGGTGATGAAGACGAAGAGGATGCCTTCCAACAACTTAACTAAGAAAATGATCACAAAATCATTTATGAAGAAAAGTTTTTAAACGATACGCACAGAGGGAAGGATAAGGAAAAATATATATATTAGAAAGAAAATCCCAATAAAATCTGGCTGAAATATCAAAATTGAAATAAAACCCTATATTTTTAATAATTTTCTAATTAGGTTATGGGACCTCAGAATGCCTCTCACTAATTGAAAAAAAATTGATTATTTTATCCTTTCAAGTTGTCCCTTATCTCTTATGATTATATTTTGGGACTAAAAAACATATATCTAATTTTACGGTATTTAGAATTTTTATATATAAACAAAACCTTCAAAAGTATTCTAATAAAACATTTTAAATTACAACATAAATAATGTTGAAATGAATATTTTTATTTTCTGTTGGTAAATATTTATTTTAAAATTTTAAAATATCTTAATTATAAGAAATATTTAATACTAAGTTATTATAAGTAACTTTTTTCGGTTGGAATCACTTAAGTAAATAAAAACAACGAAATTATGAGAACACAATATTAAATATTTCTTGTAATTAAGATATTTTAAAATCTTAAAATAAATATTTATCAACAAAAATAAAAAATATTTATTTCCAGATTATTTATATTGTAATTTAAAATGTTTTATTAGAACATTTTTGAAGCTTTTAGTGATACATATTAATTTTAAACACTATAAAAACAGCTGTGTTTTTTACTCCTATAAAGTAATCATAAGAGATAAGAGATTACTTGGGAGGAAAAAATAATTAATTTTTATTTTTTAATTCAAAGAAGGCATTTTAGTCATTTGACAACTTTTAAAAATCCTAAATTAGACCTCATTGTCTTATTAGAAATTTGTTAAAAGTATAAGCCTTAATCTGGATTTAATTATTTCAGTTAGATTTTATTGGGATTCTCTCTAATACTCTCAAAAATACTAAAAGACAAATTGCGGTGGGTAAATTTTAAAATTACAAATCAAATCTCTTAAACTATTTTGAAATTTTGAAATATTATAAAATAACAACATTGTCCTTATTTTTAATGACCACTTTCACATAATTATTGACTACTCTAATTTAATTATTAACTACTTTTATTTTTAAAGTTTAAGTGACTACTTTTGTATAAATATTGACTACACAAGAGTATTAAATAACTAAACAAAAAGTAGTCACCATATCTTTAATAGCACTTAATGTATTTTTTTAATTTTTGAAATAAAAATAATCAATATTGAAATTAGAATAGTCAATAGTTAAATAAGGGCAATCACCAAATTTTTAAAAATAAAAATCTCAATTATAATACTAGAGTAGTTAATAGTTAAAACAAAAGTAGTCGATTGGAATTCCAAAAACTAATCTAATCAATAGCTAAAAAAAAAAATAGCCAATATATATGAAAGAGCAATCACGGGAGTTCTGACCACTTGTTACCAAAGTTCTGGTAACATGTTAAAGCTCCGGTGGCAGGCCACCGGCAAAGTTACTGGTGTCGAAATTCTGGTGGCGGGAAACCGTCTAAGAGTACTAAGGTGGTAATATTTAAAAGAAAAAGAAGAAAAAATAGCAAAAAAAAAAAACATTTATGTAATTTTGTAAAATTTGAAATTTTCAAAATATTCCTAAGAGTCTGAATTGGGGTTCAAAATTTACCCACGTTAACTTGTCTTTTAACAACTTTTAGAATATTTTATTATGTTTTTTCTTTTTTTTCAAAGGATAGCCTCAGAATCTGCGCCTTTCTTTTTCTTTTCATGTTCTCATCTTCATGATGTTTCATATTTAATAATAATAATAATAATAATAATAATAATAATAATAATAATATATATATTATATTATAATAATTATATATTATTATTATTATTATTATTATTATTATTATTATAATATTGTATAAACAACCGTCCCCTATTATATGATGCAATTTTTTGAATGAGTTTGTTTCTTTTTATAAGATCATATTAATTTGTATATTATGAGTTTGTCTGAGTATTTAATACAGTATTACCTATTTTACTCTTAATTTAATATATTTAATACATTCTCTTTCTTTATTTATCCCTCTATTACCTTTTATCTTTATCTATTTATATATAAAGGTATATTTAGAAAAACACTGTATTTGCTACATATTAATTATTTTTAATCAATTTTAACTATTTTTTTAAAGCCACATAATTTAATTAAAAAGATTTTATATTAAGAGATGGAGTAATATACTCTTGTGCCGACTGGGGAGAAAGTGCGTCATAAATTCATATTGACTCATTAAAAAGGTGTGCTCATCCATTATTGAAAAGGCGTGATTCTGAAGAAGAGGACATAATAGGCGTGTGAAAGAAGGAAGTGGATTAGAGGGAAGAGAGAGAAATGAGTGCACTAGAGAGAGACAGGATGCACATGAGGGGGTTACAGCCAATGGTGACATTCCAGCAAACGCTGATCATGAATAGTCGAAAGAAGGTGTTGATATGCTAAGAAATATAAAGAAAATGCCTGTTGGAGAGAGTGACACTCCCATGGCCGATGGCGATGGAGTGGATACACAAGAAAATGGTCAATCAAGAGATACGAAATTGGATGATGGAGGGAAGAACCAAAACAGGTGGGAGCAAAAGAAACAGGGTAAGACGCAAATCTCGTACAAGTCAAAACTTGTTGGGTAGGAAGAGAAAGTCCTTGACTAATCTCTAGAAGAACATATGGAGGAGTGGTTAAGAGAAGAAGAACAGATGGCACTGGATATCTCCCCAGAATAGAAAAAACTGATGGAGAGATTGAAGGAATTGTGCAAACCATGGAGAAATGCCCTGATCATTACTCTGCTAGGAAAAATCACAAACCTTCAAATGATGACAGATAGGATAATTGGCTTCTTAAGTCGTCGGACTTCGAACTGATCAACCTTCCGAATAATTATTTTGTCTTTCGAATAGTAGAATAGAGCCTTTGCAGGAGGTTATAGTTGATGGGCCATGGCTTATACAAGGTCACTACTTAGCGATTCAATGATGGAGTCCCAATTTTAATTCTTATTGTAAACAACGCAAAAAGGTTGCAATCTGGGTTAGAGTCCCCACTCTGCCTATGCACATTTACTCAGAGGATTGCCTTATGGAGTTGGGCAATTTGATTGGGAAAGCCTTAAAAGTCGATATGAATACCTTAGTCCACTATGATAAGCAAAGAACAGTCGTGGAACGGGGTAAATTCACGAGAGTCAATGTAGAAGTTGATCTGACTAAGCCACTTCAATCGAGATTCATTATTCGGAAGAGGATATTCACAGTAGCATATGAAGGACTTGAAGTAATCTGCTTCCAGTGTGGTAAATATGGTCATAAGAAAGAAGAATGCTCCCTAGCAAGAACGACCCAGAGTGGAACGATGGAGAACAACCCACCGAAGAAGAAGATGCAGTCACCGAAAAATACAACAAAAGCAACACAGCCTTTGGTCAATGTGCCAGGAGTTACTTACGAGGAGCAGTACGGAGAGTGGATGGTTACCCAAAAAACCTTTAGACAAAGACCGGGGAGACGAGAGGCAAAACGAAGAAATGCAGATATCCTGCAGGTGCAAATAAGTCAGCTGCTTCTGACAAAAAGAAAACTATTGGCACACAGTTTGAAGTACTCCAAGAGGAGATGATAGAGACCCCAACAATGGCGAGTAGTACTACAAACAAGAAAAAGGAGCCTGCAAAAGAATGGAGGAAAAAAGCAGGGAAAGAACCTAGTACTGAAGAGGCAAGAGAATCGTTGCAAAATCAACAGCATATGAACCGAAGCTACTTTCTTTTTGGTGAAACAAGTATGAGAGAGACAGAGATCTTAGGAACGAAGGTGCCGGCAAATAAGTATGATGAAGAAAGAGAAAAAGTAGGGGATAATAAGAAGGGCCTTACAAAAGAGAATAAACAAGGCAATGCCCAAATAAAAAGCCCACAAAAGGAGCAGTCTTGACGAGAAAGGAAAAAACTAATTGGGCTTAAAAGAAGCCAAGCCTCGAGGCCCAAAATTGTCTCCCCGGTGCTAAAGAGAAAATTTGTAGTCATACTTAATCAAATAGTCATTGGGTCCATGAGTAGTAAAGGGCCAACAAACTTGAATGCCCGTTTTGAGCAAGCCCAAACAACGTTAATGACAGTACAAGAAGAGAAGACAGAGCTGGAAATTCCATCAATGAAGGAAACCACATAAAACTTACAGTAACATCATGTGATCAGGGATTAAATGGTGAGATCACCAAAGAAGCCTCCTGATCTGGTGAATATGGATGGAGAGAGTAATCCTAAAGCTCAGAATGAGGAAGCAAATGATATGTGGTTCGAAACTCAGTATGATGTTAAGGACGAGTTGCAAAGCGAAATGAGCGAGTTGGTTGCAAACCTCGGGTCCCACTAAGGAGGTATGCCTACCCTTCTTCTCTTTTGGTTTATCATGAATATTGTTGCTTGGAATTGTAGAGGAGCTGCCTCAAGATCCTTCCTGTTGAGAGTAGGAGATTTAACCAGAGGAAAGAAGATTGATCTGCTTGTTTTGTTTGACACTCATGTTACTGGGAGAAAGGCTGATAGAGTTATAAGGAAAATGGTTTTAATAACTGGATACGTTTAGAGTCCATAGGCTTCACAGGGGGTATTTGGGTATTATGGAATGAAGAAGAAAATAAGGTGGAGTTAATTACTTCCACAACCCAATTACTCCATTTTAAGGTGGAGAATGAAATTAATAACTTTTCGATCTTGCAATCCTACATTTATGCTGAACCTTGTTGCGCCTTGAGAAGACAACTTTGGTCAGACCTTGTGAATTTGAGCCTCAATGTGAACGATCCATGGCTTGTAATAGGTGACTTTAACGCCTATTTAAGACATGATGATAAAAGAGGTGGGGTAGGTGTAAATATTCTGTCCATGAAACAGCTTGAAGAATGCATCCAAGAATCACAATTAGTGGAAATGGAAAGCGTGGGAGAGAAATACACT